AGACTTAAGCACATCCATAGAATTGTTTAAAATAGTCTTTAGTCCATCTCATTTCTCTGCATGTATTTCTCTTATTTTTCTTGGTTAGATTAGCTTGTGGTCTTTTATTATTATTTGAGAACTGGCTTTTCATTTTCTTTACTATAAAATAATTATGTAACTATCCTTCTGTATACTTGAAACCTTCCCCCATACTGGCCTTTCTACTGGAAGGGCTAGCATTGGAAATAAATTTATTTAGCCATTTATATCCTTACAGCCTTAATAACTATTACTGCATTTTAAAAACCTATTTAAGTATAATAAAATTCATAAGTATACTGTTTGATCTTTGGCTAATAATGATAGCCATGTAACTGCCACCCCATCATGATATAGTTGCTGCACCCTATTTTAGTCAGTTTCTGAACCTCCTCCCTAATCAACTACTGTTCTGATTTCTGTTACTACCAATTACTTTCGCTTGTTCTATAAGTAGAACTGTACAGTATGTACTGTATCTGGTTTCTTTAATGCAGTTTGAGTTAATTTTTAAAGGTAATGCAGTTTGAGTTAATTTTTAAAGGTAAATCTACTTGGTTGGGTAAAACATCCTCTGTAGTAAATTCAGGCCTTCTAGAGGGAGGAATTGGTACTGCCTGCTGAAAGGATGACCCTGTGATGGCCACAAGATTCCAGATTGGGAATTATCTTCTCTCGGTATATTGAAAATAACATTTCGCTATCTTCAGATTTCCAATGTTGTTGAAGTCAGTTCTGGCCTATTATTGCTTAAAGGTAATTTTTTGCTTTTGGTGGGGGGCTATTTTTGAGATGTTTATCTTTTTTGTAGATTCACCATGATATATATTTCTTTACTCTGATTTGCATTTGTGGGTCTTGCATCCGTGCTTTATTGTCTGATTATTTGGCATTGATAAAACATCTTATTCAAACTGTTTCTGCAGCATTTTTCTCTTCATTTGGAACTTCAAATATATTTATTATATGTTTTTTGATAACTTCTATGGAAATTGTTTATTTTGTATATGTAAAATATACATATACAAAACATATATGTAAAATATACATATACGAAACATATATGTAAAATGTACATATACAAAACATATGTGTTTTATATATGTATATTTTAGATCTTATATCATTTGTCTCTTTCTCTTGTGTCTTCATGGCACACTCTAGAAAGTTTTTTCAACTTCTTCCAGGTCACTAACTTTCTCTGTATCTGTATCTAATATGCTATTAAACCCTTCCATTGAGGTTTTTCATTTTTTTGTCACTGGATTTTAACCTCTTGGATGACTCGTCTTCTTTCAAATCTGTTGTTTCAATTTCTAATCTTTGATCTATTCCTAGAAGCTGGAGTCCAGTTGGTCTTTTCATTGTCTGCTGGTTTTAGCTCATGTAGTTTGTTCATATGCTTGGATTTTCTGTGTGCTGAACAAAGTGACCCTTTGAGAAATTCAAAGATTAAGGTGATTGTGATAGGAAGCCAGGTCACAGTCCATGCAAGGACTGGTTTTCTGCTAGTTCACTCTTCTCAGGAGCTCTGAGCTAAAGTGGGAGGTCTAGGCTTAAATCCTTGTCTTCACTGAGCGTCAGTTTTATCACCTTGAATTAAAGCAAGTATCTTCTTATCTACATATGGAAAACCTGTTGCCCAGACAGGGGAGATAGTTCTTCCACATTCCACAATTGGTGTATAACCACCATAAAATAGAATCTGGGCTTTTCAAGGCTGCTTTTACCTGAGCTTTCAATTTGCAACTTGTATATAGGGATTTATATCCCCAAACACCCTGCTTACCATGCATGTTAAAAAAAAACTCTACCATCCTTATCATACTTGCCATACTAAGAAGGAAGAATCCGAATTAAGAAAGAATACTGAGACACCAGGCAAGGCTGGTGCATGGCAAGGGGAAGGAAGGCTGGAGGGCAAGATCGAGCTAGAAGGGATTGTCGAACCTAGGGAAAGTAGCATTGAAAGTATCCTGGTCTAAACAGAATAACCATGTGCTGGATCACAAATTAACAGGAGATCATCTTCTTCCTAGTTCATTTCCCATGTTCACGCCCCCTTCCCAGCTTCTACTGTTTGTCTGTCCTTCAGCTCTTATCAGAGAGCTGTTGGCACCAGCTGGGCTGGTTCTAAGATACCACTTCTAGCTGCTATAGAAGGCCCCTTAGTGTGGCTTGAGAGGTAGATGCTTGGAAGCTGAGGAATATTAAAACTAAAGGTATGGGCAATTAGACTCAAGGAGAAGGTTGGTATACTCCAATACCAGACAATTTGGGGACATCATTGCTTTTGTGGAACAGCATTATTCACAATAGACTTTTCCTATAGAAAAGACAGGTCTTGGCAGAAATCCAACTGCCAGGTGTCTTTATGGCATTGCCACATACTCAACTTCCTTATATCAGAAAAGATTTTACCAGGAAACACACTTTTTTAAATTACTGGACTTGGTCCCCATTTTCTGCTCCATAAACCTGCCAGGTGAGGTTCTCATTCCGACTTTGTTAAACAGGCTCCTTCCTCCTGTTGGGCCACCTTGGCCTCTAGCCTCTCTACCCCATCTTGATCCCTGTTATCTGTGTACCTAGAGCCTCTGGCAGAGAGCTAAGTGGGTGAGACAGAGTAATGGAACCTTTGTAACAGCAAAGACTTCCAGGACAAGAAGTCCAAGAAAATCCCTAATCCAGCCTGAACTGGAATAACTGCTTAAATTTTGGACTGTGTGCTAGTGTAGCTGAAACTACAGAGGTATCACATCTTTTATTAAGGTGACATGGGACAAAGACACTAATTAGGTGATAGCTACTTTCCTTTTCAATGGAGGTCATCTCTACCATCTTGACTCCTCAAGACCAACATAGATGATGGGCACCACCTTGTAGAAGGTAAAATCAAAGGAATCTCACTTGCCCCTTGAACTGCTCCTCTATGCTTATCCCAGCATCTGGAAGGACAATGTGTCCTACTTACCCCTAGGGCTGAGAGTCCACATTGAAATACTCTTATATCTAGGGGTGGGAGTTCAGGCAAGAACAAAGCTTTTGCTTGAGGAACAAGGGATTAGTCCAGGCATAAGAGCTCATGTCTGTTCACTTTTTAAGTGGTGTGTTACCAACGCTGGTGAGTTACAGTCGATAAAAAGTAGGCATCCCGAATCAGAACTTGGTACATCTTTGGTCCTGTGGCTTCATCTGGCTGTTACTCTATATTCCAAGGTCAAAGTCCTAGGTCATGGCTCATGTGTTCATTGACTCAGCGACATTTTCATGGATGTGCCTCTCCCACTAGTTACCTATATGCCAGGCACTGTGCTAAGGATGTAACGATGAAGGCTGACCCAGGCAGGTACTGAACAAGTAACAGTATTAAGTGTCATTTAGGAGAAGTACAGGTTGCCGTGGGAACATCACAAGCAGATCGAACATAGTTTGGAGAAATTGGGCAGAGTGTCTAGTACTTTGAAGTGCTGGTGCCACAAACCTGTAAAAGAAATAACCAAGGAGTGACATATGTTGGTCAGGGTAATATGACTTAGAAGAAGGACTTAGAATATGGAATTTGGTGGAAGGTACATGAATTTAGATTTTTAGAAAAAGAAGAATTGGAGACTGGGGTATGAGGACTGTCTTATAAAGCAGTAGTCCCCAAACTTTTTGGCACCAGGGACCAGTGCTCCTATGAGAATCTAATACCTGATGGTCTGAGATGGAGCTGAGGAGGTGATGCTAGTGCTGGGGAGCGGCTGCAAATATAGATGAAGTTTCACTCGCTAGTCAGCCACTTACCTCTTGCTGTGTGGCCCCATTCCTAACAGGCCACGGACCGGTACAGGTTTGTGGCCCGGGGTTGGGGACCTCCATCGTAAAGAATTACTGATAGCTATTGGCTTCAATTTTACTTACATTGTAGCTTCTCGTTATCTAATTTTTGTTTGCTTGATTTTTTGAGGCTTTAAAAGGTATTTCTTAGATCTTAGCCTACATTTTGTGTCTCTTTCAGACAGAAGGTTGGTCTGAACAGTCAGGGGTCCTCAAATTATGTACAGTCCTAGGTACATGTTAGAACTGAAAATTCTCGGGCCTCATACCCAGGTTTACTGAATCTAAGTCTGGTGATGAAGTCGAGCCATCTCTGCCCTGACAAGCCCTCCAAGTGATTTTTGTGGGCTTTAAAGTTCAAAAAGCATGTATCCAGCCCATGGTTACTAGTGACAGAAGTCTAAGGCAGTTGTCATAGTGAGCAGGTCGAAGGCATTTACAGGAAGTGATGCAAGGAAGGAAGATGAGAGGACTGAGCGCTGACCAGCTAGTATAGCCAACTTGGGAAAAGCAGGCGAAAAGAAGGGCTGATGTTCTAGAACGGGTTGTCGAAATTTGTAAAAGGCCAGATAGTAAATATATTAGGCCTTGTAGGTTATATAGTTTGTGTCACAACTATTCAATTCTGCCATTGGAGTACAAAAGCAGCCATAAATAATATATGTAAACCAAACAAATGTGACTGTGTTCCAATAAAAATTTATTTACAAAAAGAGGTGGCAGGCTGGATTGGGCCCTTAGACAGTAGTTTACTGCCCCCCTATTCTAGCCGAACGATTTACTCAGTATTCTTTCCCTTCCATTCCCTTTCCTTTCCAGCATCAGAATCCCTTTTCTCTCTTAGAATCTTATAAAGCAGGAATTACTCTGGTTGAAGCACAAGGTGGAGAACTTGGAGCCTTTTCCTCAAAGTGATCCCTAGGGCTCTGCCTCAGGACACATTTTAATGCTAAAAAAGCACAGTGCTGCAGTGTCTGGGATTGGGACCATTTAGGCATTGCCCTTGAATGAATGGGTAACTGTTACTGAACCAATTAGAGCCTGTAACCAAGGCATGGAGGTGGGAGGAACCAAAGGCCAGCCTGAGAGCAGGCCTGGATGTGAGGGTCAGGGAGTGTTTCCTCTGCTGCAGTGCACGGTCTCTCTCTTCTCTGCAGGTTCAGGCCAGCCTGTTGAAGCTAAAACGAACACCCAGACTATGAGTCACCAATCGGACACCGACCGTAAGAGCTGTGGCCAGATGAGCAGCCAGGGCCTCAGAAACCAGAGCACCCACACCCAGCTGCTGGAGGTGATGCTGTGCTTGCAGCAGACCATAGAGGACTACATCGTGCAGCTGAAGACCCAGCATCCACAGCAGAGTCTGGCGCTGGAGGAGCAAAGGCACGGTCGGGCCACCAGGGAGGAGGAAGCCATCCTTGTTCATTTAATGTGCCAAGTGGCCAACCTCTTACAGTCTGGGGCCACTGGTGGAGCGGGGCTCCAACTGCCTTGCCCTTCCCTGGGCTCTTATGGTGATGTTGGAGGTGGGCAGCAGGCCCAGTCATCCAGGTGGCCTGACCAGCGAGGTCACCAACTGAGTGATTTGGAAGCTACATCCATCAGCTGCGACCTGTCCAACCGTGGGAATGACATCTTTAACTTATACTCCAGCTTCCATGACTACGAGAACTACCAAAGAGACAAATACCACGAGGAAAAGAACACCTTGGTGAGGATGGGGTGGGGGGCACACTCCCAACCCCTAGGATTTACTGAGTCCTGTGCCAAGTACTGTGCTCTCTCGCTTACTCTTCCCGGCCCCAAAAGTAGGTGCTATTATCTCCTTATAGATAAGAGAATGGGCACAGAATAAAGTGACATGCCAAAAAAAGGCGAAGAGCCAGGTCTGGGTTCCTCTCCTCCCCTCT